TAAAATTATCCTGGGGACCGAATGACTTCTATGCTTTTTTCGCTATTTCTATGAAGGTGTAATACGTGATACCGCACTCAACTTCCATGCAAAATGGCTGTCTATGTTGAAGTCTCATCCATAAGTTGGCTATTCTATAGGTATTTTTTATTTTAACGTATATGGCGTAGAATTTTATGCTGGTTATAACCATAGTAAAATTATCCTGCGGACCGAATGATTTCTATGCTTTATTCGCTATTTCTATGAAGGTGTAATACGAGATAACGCACTCAACTTCCATGCAAAATGGCTGTCCATGTTGAAGTCTCATTCATGCGTTACCTATTGCATAGGAATTTTTAATTTTAACGTATATGACGTAGAATTTTATGCTGGTTATAACTATACTAAAATTATCCTGCGGACTGAATGATTTCTATGCTTTTTTCGCTATTTCTTTGAAGGTGTAATACGAGATAACGCAGTCAACTTCCATGCAAAATGGCTGTCTATGTTGAAGTCTCATTCATGCGTTACCTATTCTATAGGAATTTTTTATTTTAACATATATGGCGTAGAATTTTATGCTGGTTATAACCATACTAAAATTTTCCTGGGGACCGAATGATTTCTATGCTTTATTCGCTATTTCTATGAAGGTGTAATACGAGATAACGCACTCAACTTCCATGCAAAATGGCTGTCCATGTTGAAGTCTCATTCATGCGTTACCTATTGCATAGGAATTTTTAATTTTAACGTATATGACGTAGAATTTTATGCTGGTTATAACTATACTAAAATTATCCTGCGGACTGAATGATTTCTATGCTTTTTTCGCTATTTCTTTGAAGGTGTAATACGAGATAACGCAGTCAACTTCCATGCAAAATGGCTGTCTATGTTGAAGTCTCATTCATGCGTTACCTATTCTATAGGAATTTTTTATTTTAACATATATGGCGTAGAATTTTATGCTGGTTATAACCATACTAAAATTTTCCTGGGGACCGAATGATTTCTATGCTTTATTCGCTATTTCTATGAAGGTGTAATACGAGATAACGCACTCAACTTCCATGCAAAATGGCTGTCCATGTTGAAGTCTCATTCATGCGTTACCTATTGCATAGGAATTTTTTATTTTAACATATATGACGTAGAATTTTATGCTGGTTATAACCATACTAAAATTATCCTGGGCACCGAATGATTTCTATGCTTTTTTCGCTATTTCTATGAAGGTGTAATACGAGATAACGCACTCAACTTCCATGCAAAATGGCTGTCTATGTTGAAGTCTCATCCATAAGTTACCTATTCTATAGGAATTTTTTATTTTAACATATATGGCGTAGAATTTTATGCTGGTTATAACCATACTAAAATTATCCTGGGGACCGAATGATTTCTATGCTTTTTTTCGCTATTTCTATGTAGGTGTAATACGAGGTAAGGCACTCAACGTACATGCAAAATGGCTGTCTATGTTGAAGTCTCATTCATGCATTACCTATTCTATAGGTATTTTTATTTTAACATATATGGCGTAGAATTTTATGCTGGTTATAACCATACTAAAATTTTCCTGGGGACCGAATGATTTCTATGCTTTATTCGCTATTTCTATGAAGGTGTAATACGAGATAACGCACTCAACTTCCATGCAAAATGGCTGTCCATGTTGAAGTCTCATTCATACGTTACCTATTCTATAGGAATTTTTTATTTTAACATATATGGCGTAGAATTTTATGATGGTTATAACCATAATAAAACTATCCTGTGGACCGAGTGATTTCTATGCGTTTTTGCGCTATTTCTTTGACAGTGTAATACGAGATTACGCACTCAACTTCCATGCAAAATGGCTGTCTATGTTGAGATCTCATTCATACGTTACCTATTCTATAGGAATTTTTTATTTTGACATATATGGCGTAGAATTTTATGCTGGTTATAACCATAGTAAGCTATCCTGGGGAACGAATGATTTCTATGCGTTTTGGCGCTATTTTTTTGACAGTGTAATACGAGATTAGGCACTCAACTTCCATGGAAAATAGCGGTCTATTTTGAGGTCTCATTCATACGTTACTAGTTCTATAGGATTTTTCATTTTAACATATATGCCGTGGAATGTTATGCTGGTTATAACTATATTAAAACTATCCTGGGGACCTATAGAATAGGTAACGCATGAATGAGACTTCAACATAGACAGCCATTTTCCATGGAAGTTGAGTGCGTAATCTCGTATTACACTGTCATAGAAATAGCGCCAAAACGCAAAGAAATCATTCGTTTCCCAGGATCATTTTAGTATGGTTATAACCAGCATAAAATTCTACGCTATATATGTCAAAATAAAAAATTGGTATAGAATAGGTAACGTATGAATGAGACTTCAACATAGACAGCCATTTTACACGGAAGTTGAGTGCGTTATCTCGTATTACACTGTCGTAGAAATAGCGCCAAAACGCATAGAAATCATTTGGTCCCCAGGATAAATTTAGTATGGTTGTAACCAGCATAAAATTCTACGCCATATATGTTAAAATAAAAAAAATCCTGTAGAATAGGTAACGTATGAATGAGACCTCAACATAGACAGCTATTTTCCATGGAAGTTGAGTGCGTAATCTCGTATTACACTGTCAAAGATATAGCGCAAAAACACATATAAATCATTCGGTCCCCAGGATAGTTTTACTATGGTTATAACCAGCATAAAATTCTACGCCATATATGTCAAAATAAAAAATTGCTATAGAATAGGTAACGTATGAATGAGACCTCAACATAGACAGCCATTTTCCATGGAAGTTGAATGCGTTATCTCGTATTACACCGTCAAAGAAATAGCGCAAAAACGCATAGAAATCACTCGGTCTCCAGGATAGTTTTAGTATGGTTATAACCAGCATAAAATTCTCCGCCATATATGTTAAAATAAAAAATTCCGATAGAATAGGTAACGTATGAATGAGACTTCAACATAGACAGCCATTTTGCATGGAAGTTAAGTGCGTAATCTCGTATTACACCTTCATTGAAATAGCGAAAAAAAACATAGAAATCACTCGGTCCCCAGGAAAGTTTTACTTTGGTTATAACCAGCATAAAATTCTACGCCATATATGTTAAAATCAAAAATTCCTATAGAATAGGTAACGTATGAATGAGACTTCAACATAGACAGCCATTTTGCATGGAAGTTGAGTGCGTTATCTCGTATTACACTGTCAAAGAAATAGCGCAAAAACAGCACATCTAAATCATTTGGTCCAAGGACAATTTTAGTATGAGACCTCATTTTAGTATGACTATTGTCATAGTAGAAACTGCATGTGTAATATATTAACTGCAAGTGTATTTACATTATCTTAATTGAACTTGCAAATGTATATGTTTGAATTAATTTATGATTTGGTTTAAACGATGTGACTGAAAGATCATGTAATTGTCTTTAATATGGACTATGGTTTATATGGTATTGGGTTTTTGAAAAAAATTTGCTTCCTAAATTGTGAAAATTGCTCGAGACCGTCGGTAGTATTAATGTTGATGCAAAGATTAAAATGTAAATGATTCTCCCCATGCTAATGCCTATTTTTAAGTTGAACTCTTTTAAATGATGGGAAATAGCGAGCTCGCCACATGTTGTCGTTATCTGTTTAGTTAATCTCTTTTAATCTGGTGAAAAATGTCGGTGGGAATGTTGTGATGAATGTCGTGACCAATGTCGTGACCAATGTCGTGACAGCTTCACTTCAGTCAGATAAAACCAACAATTCAAATTTTGAATAAGCACATTATATTAAATACTAGATTGCACTTTGACAAAACTCGAGAAAACATCTTTGAACCCGCACAGTATTATTTTTATAGAAACAATATGTTAAAATATGTGAATATGTATATAAATATGGGTTTGCTACAAGCTTATTTAAGCCTCTTCCCTGGATTTCCAAGGCCTTTCAAATCATTGAGTGCCAAGCTCTCTCCCCTTGGCAAGTAAAATCAGCTAGGCATTAACTCTGCCTAGGGTCACTGACTGGGTTAGACAGAGTAGAATTAGTGGTGTTTACACTACAAACCTTGGCCTAGCGTTGGCCAGGCACTATTTTTTTGAGACAGGCTCACTTTGGCCAAGTTGTCCGCTGGTTGTCAGCTAATCTTTCACTGTGGACACACATTGCCATGAAAATGAGGCCCCGGCCAGGGCCGAAAGTGTTTACATTTCCACAAGCCTCTGAGGCTTAGACCAGGTCTGTTACAAGTAGTGAGCCCAGATTTCCTGGCCTAGGTCAGGACAAGGCTAGGCCAAGGATGGTAGTGTAAACACGACTATTGATTGCATCAGGGCGCAGTATAAACTTTTGCTAGCTTGAGCTTGAAGGATTTCAAAGCTAAACCCTTCTAGAATCTACCCTGTATATATATGTGCCTGTTTATATGATAATGGCATGACTGGACAGTAGGTTTTAATCCAGGATGGTGTGTTTAATATAGACGGAATACACCCCACCTGGCAGGGATGATAGAGTACTTATATGAGAGTTTCTTATCCTGGCAGGTGGGATCCTGTCTAGGCCAGATAGAAGTAGAATATTTAATTCACTTTAATTACTAAATAGTTGATAGAGTTCATATTGCATGCTGGATCATGCCGGCGGTGTCATAATATTTACAAAGTGGCTACAGTATGATGCTTGTGATGTTACTCTGAGTGTATATCCACACCGGGCAAGCTTGAAAAATATGCCTGGCCACGGTGGGAATCGAACCTGCAACCTTTGGAATACTAATTAGTCCAATGCTCTGCCTACTGACTTACTGAGCTATTTGGTCAGATCGGTTCAAATATGTGAAATTTCGGAACAGAATCTAGTTCCTTCGATATCAAATGTATGTAATCAAAGGAACTAGAAAAATCATTATTGATTATTAGATTACATTGATATCGAAGGAACTAGATTCTGTTCTGAAATATCCCATATTCGAACCGATCTGACCGCGTAGCTCAGTGGCAGAGCATTGGGCTAGTATTCCAAAGGTCGTAGGTTCGATACCCACCGTGATCAGGCATATTTTTTAAATTAATTAAGCTTGCCCGGTGTGGATAATTGTACACTCAGAGTAACATCACAAGCATCATATTCCTTAGTACATTACACCAACGTAGAAAAATCATTACTGGCTACAGTATATCTAACCTTAAACAGACTTTGTCAGGCTATTATAATTTACAAGCTTACAGCACTCTTATGTACTAAACCAGCACTATAAAATTTATTGTTTATGAAGGATTTCAGCGAGCTCAAAAATAGATCAGAAGGTTAGGCAGATGGCTGCTGTGCTGTAGTCAGTGGTTCGAACCCGAGTTGGGACAGGTTTTTGTTCACCTTAACTAAACATGTCTTTTTTTCTGATTAGTTTTTTTTTAGGGGTCTAGAGGTTAGGGTTAGTTTTCTTTGAATTTGACTTTAACTATAAATATAACCTGTGTGGAGACTAAGAATGAGAGTGCCATAAATATAGCCTGGCGAAGTTTGTTTACGGGCCTGAAGATATGGCCACTTTGTAATAATTATTTAAAAAAGCAATTTAATTATAATTAAATGGATCAAATGATTGGATAATTACTACAGACTTTATAAAAACAGTCTAAGCTTACAACAGCATAAAACTAGTATTCTTTTTACATGTGCATCCAAAGCTAGATTGAATTAACATATAAATAACCATTAATTACAAGAGTATGCACCAGCATACTTGATGATCCACTTAGCCTTGAGAGTAAAATGGTCTGGCATTAGACAGAGTACAATAATCTGGCATTTAAAAGACAGTAAAATAAGGAAGTAGGACACACAAGTGTACAATACAACTTAATGGGTTCACTAGACACATGGCCATATTAACCATTTAACCCACCAAACAGGAATACTTCTCAAGAAGTTTGGAGGCCATTAAGATGGGGTGTTAACTGGATATTACACTTACACTAGGCTGGACATGCATAAGCTGCATTGTGCCACAACTTTATTGTTTTACTCTGTCCGATGGGTCGTTCCAGAAAAGATCCACTCTCCCCTATGCACAGAGGAAATTTCTACCTTCTGGAGGGTAGGGGAGAAGAATTGTTTCTGATAATAGTAAGTGTATTAGGACATTCGAATTTCGAAGGGGATAGGAGGTTACAGTAACTTCCAATTTCCTTCATGGTGGAGGTATCGATGTTCTCTGGAATGACCCAATATCAGATGATTTTACTTGTCAGTGATATCACTCAGTGGGTTACTGAAACAAGTAGCACTCCTCTCCAATGTAACTAAGGGTAAATCATAATCTTATGAATCTATTCAATGAATCTTTTCTGAAATGAGCCAATAGCATATTAAATCACAAATACCAACAACCAGTAGCAGATACCTCGCAAAATATTGGGGGTGCTGTTGAGATGTCTGTTAACAAATCCTATCTAGTGCATATTTCTCTTGTTAACCCATTCATTGGCAATATGCTCTACTTTATGTTACTCTGTCTAATGCCAGCAAATTTTACAGTATTACTTGTCGAGAAGATAGCCTTGCAGCAGTTTCCAATTTGCCACACAGAGAATACATTACTGGGAACGAGTCGGGGTAAAAGCCATATGAACCAAGGGTTATCAATTATGATAATACTAGAACCAACTTGAACCAAAGGTTGGGTTGTGCTACTACATTAGGCCTTCCCATTCGTAATAATGTGCAAAGTTTATAGGTTGGACAGGAGGGAATTGCTCATATTGCTGCATGCGAACTGTGAACTTGTGCTATATACTGTAATGTTAACTGACTGGAGTTACAGTACATGAAATATGTAGAGCTAACAATAGTCTTGTATTTCCTTTCTTATAGCTCATGTGACTAAACGTTTTGCGGGAGCAACAGCTTCATCAGTGAAAGCTGGCATGGCCCAAAAGCGCAAAGACAAAAGAAATGCTGATACGAAAAGAAGAAATATTGCAGAAGACATTTGAACTGCTAAGTTTTTTCTTTATTATAAATTATTTTGTATGGTAGCTAAACATTTGTAGAAATTAACTGTATTTAATAAATTATTTCTTCCTATATATACCATTACAGTTCTACTATAATCTACTGTAACTTTGGATGCACATGTAAAAAGAATACTACCATAGTTAATAATTTAGTAGTTTTATGCCGTTGTAAGCTTCTAAAGACTGATTTTACACTATAAAGTCTGCAGTAAATATACAGTCATTTGCAAGCTGGATCATGCCAAATGTCACCTGCCAGGATAAGAAATTCTCATACAAGCACTCTATCATCCCTGCCAGGCGGGGTGTATTCCGTCTATATAAACACACCATCCTTGATTCAAACCTGTCCAGCCATGCCATTATCACATAAACAGGCACATATATGCAGTAAATAATGCAGGGTTAGACATGTGAAAAACCTGGCATTAGACAAGTGAAAAAAAGTAGGGCGCACTGGGGCACATTCCGGCTCAATGGGTTAAATATTTAATTTAAAGTCAATCCATTTACATGCTAAAACCAAGAAATATGCACTGAATGGATAATCTTAATAATCAATTCTATATATTGGGTTAACAATTTTATGATTCAGATAGATCATTGTGATTTACTCAAGTTTAATACTCTCAAATAATGTTCTTTAATACTAGGCTTGTAGCAATCAGCAATGTAGCCATATTTATATTCATATAAACATATTGTTTTATATACTATGTGGGTTCAAACATGCTTTCTCGAGTTTTGCAAACAAGTGAAACCCAGTATTTACTATAATGAGTCTATTCAAAATTTGAATTGTTGATTTTAACTAACATTTGATGGCATTGTAATGAAATAATTCGACATATAAAACCTCGCGCGCGCAAATTCAAATTTTAGCAGGCACAAGATAAAATGGGTTACGGTCGATGTGCGTTATAATTATATGATATAATTAACAAATATAAAACATTTTCCGTGTTGATATACAGTTATATCAACACGAGTGGAAATTGGGGAAACGAGAAATTGTGTGGAAACACGACGCCCAAAGGGCGGAGTGTTTTCACACAATTTCGAGTTTTCCCAATTTCCACGAGTGTTGATATAACTATATATCAATACGGAAAAAATGTTTTATATTTGTTTTATAATATAGCACAAACAAATATAAAAAAAGAAACTTTCCGACATTT